TTTCATTAAATTTACAGTGAAATTTGCAATTTCAGGACTTTTTCCTCTCAAACAGAAGTAACTGTCTCTTGCCTGAAAATTACTACTGAACTGTCCATGACATTTAAAATTTCTTTCGACCACTATAATTGGTGTTTACTAATAATTATTAGGGAACATTTTTAAAATCTTCTAAAAAATAGAAAGTCAACTTTTCTGAGTATGGTTGGAAAATTGCGATTTTCGGAGACGCCGATCTTTTTTTCTTCCGAATGGAAGCTTTGTAATCATGATTTTTTTCGATTTTTTAATTTTGGATGGAAATGGCTAGAAATGTCATGAAACGCGAAGAAATTACGTTTTTAAAAAATGTCTGTATATGAGTAGATATGTATATGCACATGTGTGTTCGTATGCCCAGAACTGTTCCCCTAACTCGGGAATTATTGAGCCAAACATGCTGAAATTCTGATTACTAATTGGTATTACTGCGATTCAAATTTGTGCTAAATTTCAGGACGATTGGTTGAGCTGTTCCTGAGATATAGCGATTCTTCGAAAATCGTTTTTTGCCGATATCTACTGGACTATTCGACCGATTGGTTTTTTTTTTTCAAAATACTCGTCATGATGATATATATTTAATTGGATTGAAAAAACCATTACACCCTATGCAATGTAGTTTTATTCTCGTTTTTGCTTCCGAATGGAAGCATTGTAATCGTTCGATTTTCACATTTTCCAATTTTGCTTGGAAATGATACAGAATGGTCTGAAACATAAACATACGAAGTTTGGGGACCATGTCTTTGCGTGACATTGTCCAGTCGATCATTTTTTCGTAAATTTGATAATTAAACGAGAAAAACCATTCCAAAAAGTTTTAAATTTCTTCAGTTAATTGGTACAACTTGAGACCGAACTAACTAACTTCATGCCGAACTTCAGCTTGATCCGTCCATTAATTTTTGAGCAATAGTCATTCGTTTTTTAACGATTTCTCGCAAATATTTCGGAAAATACCCAACCGATTTCAATTATTAAAAAAAAAAATATTCAGCATGATGTCCTCTATCTAAATCAAGCAACACATATATACCCGTTCATACAAAGTTTTTGAGATATTTGGATTTTTTTGTTTTTGACTTGAAATTCTTGTTCGCGCTCTAACTTGAGTAAAAATTGAGATATCGACTTAAAATTTGGCGTGAAGTTGTCTATTATCATTGCAAGGCCCAGTGTGGAAGACAGGCTCAATCGGTCAATTAGTTTCGGAGATATACAGAAAATTAGAAGTTCCTGGATAGTGGCAGGTGCTTGAATCACCTAGTACTCGTGATGGTAGCCATAAACTGAAACTGAGAAGGTCAGTCAGTTGGACGGGTCACTCAGCTTTCCTCAGACGAGGCTAACCCTTTCATGAGACTCAATAAATCTCAGTGTCCCTTTTTGTTTCTCGTAGTTGAAAAATTCGTTTTTTCATTATTTAAATAAGAAGAACACCTTGTTGAATTCCCCCGATTACCACGATTCTAACGAAATTTGATTTGTTGAAATATCTTGATTCGGAATGAAGTTCTCTTATAGTAATTGGAACAAACTAAATTCGAAATGGAAAATCAAATTTCAACGCAGCGAAATTGGAATAATGATCTAGTGATATTCTATCTTGAATACAAAATAATATTACAATTTTTTTGTACCGACTGTAATGGTTAGGTGGGTGAGGTGTTGCTCCGGCGGACATCTAAGCTAAGCAGCGTTGAGCTGGGTTAGTACTTGGATGGGTGACCGCTTAGGAACACCTCGCTCGCACAAAAATTGCGGGCGGTAGGTACGGTGCAGCGAACTAGTGTCTCCCTCTAGTCAGTGTGTGTGTGGGTGTGTATGATAGATATATTAGAGCACTGCACAATCGGCCGGCTATGCGACTGGGGTTTTACATGGTTTCCCGTGCAGTCCTAGCTCGAATGGGGCACAGCAAAGAGTAAGACGGCCATGATACCGCAGATAATAACGAGAGGAAAAGAAAGGAGGGGAGGCTGGCTAGAGGAGGGGTTTCAACTCGAGAATTACTTCAATAAAACCAATGAATTAGAAAAAATAAAAAATAAAAAAATATTACAATTTTTTTTTTGAAAATTGCAGGGCCAACTGTGCGGGAATATTTACTGCTCAATAATTCAACAAAAATTCCTTAATTACGAAAAGACGTTTATTTTTCCACTCTTCACACATAGTTCTCACTGAACAAGTAGTTGTCGTATATACGAATGACGTAATATAACAGTATATCATCCTTATATAAAAAAGCATACATTGGAAACTGTCATGGCGGAGGACATGTAAAAAGTGTCATAGCGGCGCATGAAGGACGCATTCTCATGTGGAATTTCATGAGAATGAGCAATGCGACCGCGACGGCCCTATCTAAAAAAAGCGCGTGAATTACAAAGTGGACTTATTGCTTATAACCTAAACTAATTTTCTTCACGTGGATTGGTTGATAATGACGGGAATGTGAAACTATTTTTTGGTGATGAATGTTAAAAATTGATACATAGTTGAAATGATTGATAATTAGATGAACTTGACTTGATGTTAAGAGTGGAATAAAATAAAAGTGGTTAATTGCTTTCGTCACAACATAGTCAATATATTTTGGCTCATAAATTAGCAATGCGCTTCCACATATGAATTTCTATAACGATGGAGTTTTAATTCAGTAGCGAAGTAGTAAAGGGAACTAAGTCAATTTTGACTATTGACTAGTTTTCAATCAATATCTCGGAATCTAAGGGAGATAGCAAAATTTTTGTCATAACCTTTTTTGTGGAGCCGATTGAGTGCTACAAAAAATATATGTTTGGTGAATGTCTAGGGTTAGGGTGGATGTGGGATGAAAATGTGGAGGGAGATGTTGGGAAAATTATGTTAGGCGTTTTATAAAAAATCTCAATATATTTTCGTGGGATCGAATCACTTGTCACGTAATTTTACACTTTTTGGTATATTTACTGTTGAATGTCTAATTTTCACTGATAATTGTCTTTTCACTTTTATCTCGTTGAGTCACTGAAATTATACTGAACTTAATCAACAAGTTGATGTACTGAACAAAGATATTAAATTTAGAATACTGATTGACTGAATACGCTAGCTCATTATCGTAACGATACTTTAACACTACTGACTACTGACTCTTCTGGGTGCCACGCTGACCTGTGTCCGTTGACCCGAAAGTTTACGGAGATTTTCGGAGATGGCCGAGTTAGTCGATCGTGACTAATATGGAGATTTAGGCTATATTTCGAACACCAAAAACATCAAAATTTCGAACATCAAAATTTTTGTCATAACCTTTTTTGTGGAGCCGATTGAGTGCTACAACAAATATAATTACGAAAATTTCGCTATCTCCCTTGGATTCGGAAATATTCCTCAAAAACTCAAGTGGGAGACAAGTCCACTTATCTCCGTTTACCACTTCACTACTGAATTGAATTCAATGATTTATTGTATTCAATTTATTGACATTGCCTCAATGTTGGAAGCTAACATTGCACCAAAAATATTGGTTTTAAAATGATTTTTTTCAACAAAAAAATAATGCAATCAATTCCATGATCGAACTTGGTCAGGATGGCATTGAGAAGAATATTGTAAATTATAATTACTCATTTAAACAATTATTTTTTCAATTATCCTCGAAAAACGATCAGTTACATATATCCATACACACACATACATATAGACATCTGGACATGGTCTAAAAATTGCATATTCGAACTCCTGAGTCCAAAAGTAATTATCCTGAGACAAATGTTGGCATTTTTGGATTCGACAAATACAATGTTTCCATTCGGAAGTAAAATTAATCTCATGTTTTTCTAAATGATTGAGACCAAATTCGTAACTTACATAATGTTCGATGCCGGGTCTGAGATCTGTGGAACTAGTTAAGGATGGGCGAGTTGTGAATGGATTTTAGCGAGAGCGTGAGAAGGTCCAGGAAACACAACACGTGCACGTTGGTCAACTCAGTCAATTTAATTATCAAAAAGAGTCAATTATTTACACTATCAACACAATGAAAAGAACAATAGTTATGCGCAGATCACCTTAACCGTTTAAAAGCGATGAGCAATTAATAAAGGAGCACAGCAACTAACAATGCGTTAAGCAAAAGAAAAGAGCAAAAAGCGCGTGCACTGGTCAATGGGCAATGTGCAAATGAGAGCGATTTATAGGCCACGAGGTGGCAGGTAACGAAAATCCATAGGTGTGAACGTGACCCAATTTAAATGGGGCGTTCACTGGGCACCTGTCCATTAAGTGGCTCCTCAGGTGTCAGAGGTGAGAGACCACTGGTCATCTGAGGCGAGTACGTCGGTCAACTGTGCGTAGGCCATGCAGGCATGCGAGCGGAGTAAGTGTGCGTGAGTGTGCGCATGTGTGAGGAGTAAATTATTCGGTGGAAAACCGAACATTCTCCCCCGCCGTCAGCAGCTGCTGACGTCACTAAGTAGGTCTGGAACAAAAATAGATTAATCGAGCTCAGGTCAATAGTTTCTTGAAGAGCTACTTCATCACTGGAGTTCATCTGCGATGGTCAAGGTGCGAGTACAACCAAAATCGTTGGAGGCGTAAATTTTGCAGATCTCAGCAGACCCGCTTCCGCTCAGCGGCCAGGTTCGAAGATGAAGGTCGTAAATCTTCGCCTGGGTCTGGTCGAGAATGAAGTTAAAGATGACTCCAGTTGTAGAGATGAGCGAACGTTGGACGAGAAGATCTTAGACATTGTTGGTCGAGATGGGCAGTAGAGCTAGTTTGGAGATGGGCTTCTGAAGCGTAGAGCTGAACGTCTTGATGGTGACCACCCTGGTGAGTCCATCTCTACCAGGGTGGAGAGTGATGACTCGAGCGAGAGGCCACTTCGTTGGTGGGAATCTCTCGTCGGTGAGAAGGACTCTGGAACCAATCCTGATGTCATGAGATGGGTGGTGCCACTTCGAGATGGACTATAGATGCTGAAGATAGCTAGTGGACCACCGTTTCCAAAAGCACTCGACCTTCTGCTGAACGAGTTGCCAGCGAGACAAACGAGCGATGTTCAAGTCGTCCAGAGAAGGCTCAGGTAGCGCTGTCAACGCCTGACCAATCAAGACATGTCCTGGAGTGAGTGCACTAACGTCATCGGCACCTTCTGAAAGAGGCTCAAGTGGTCGAGAATTAAGCACTGCTTCAATCTGCGCGAGCAAAGTGGTGAGTTCCTCGAAGGTCAAAAGAGTGTCGGCGATCTTTCGCTTAAGGTGAAACTTCACCGACTTCACTGTGGCTTCCCCCTTTCCTCCAAAGTGCGGAGCACCAAGAGGCAGTTTGTTGGCTCTCTGAGCCTCTGGAAGCAGGTTGCTGAGACGCAGAACCACGTTGAGCTGGCCGATGAGAACGATCCAGGTGCAGCAGGGTGTGATGCCTCTCTCGGCATTGGAGACACGTGCTAGTCGTCTGGGAAACCCTGATGCTGTACTTCCCCAGGCAGTTGAAGCACAAATAGAGACGGTCCACGACTTCCTTGCGACCAGCTGGCGAGGGACTCCTGAACTGATTGCAGGAGGCGATGTAGTGCTCCCCCTTGCAATACGAGCAAAGATACCTGCCCGCCTCAGCCCACGATTATGCTGGAGTGGACTGTAATTTTCGAGTTGGACCTTGAGACTGCTAAGAAGGCTGATGAGCTGGTCGACTGGAAGTCATCGCGTTGACCTTTCTGCTGGGGTTCGATGCAGGGCGAGATTGCATGCTGGGCTGAGCGGATTCCGTCGAGCTCGAGTTGAGAGACCGAGACCCAACTTCCATAGTTTCTATCGCCCTGGAACGACCTTGGAGAAACTCGGTAAGTTGCTCGAGAGTAGGATACTCAGTAGAGGCACCGATCAGTAGAGGCACCGACAACCACTGGACCCCACTGATCAGTAGTTTGATCCAGAGCCTTGAGTTTGCTGAGAGCTTCGGAGGCTGAGCTGGTCAATCGGTTGAGTTCCGTAGCGCTGTGAGAGGACATAAGAGAAGGACTCAAGAGGTGATCAAGATGAGCTGCAACTAACAAGCGCTTGTTCTCGTAGCGATTAGTAAGGATTCCCCAAGCTATTGAAAAGGATTCCTCCAAGACGGGCAAATGGGAAATCAGTCTAAGCGGTTCACCGGATAGATAGAGACGTAGATAATTCATCCCCTCAACCCCCGGAATGTCAGGGTTGTTCCCGACCAGTGAGTAGAATAAGTCACGCCATGGCCTCCACTCTCTGTAAATTCCAGAGAACTTCGGCAATTCAATCTCCGGTAAGGCTCTGCGAGTTGTGTGAGGTGAGTCAGCGCCGGGCTGAGAGCCCCTCCTAGATTGGTTTAGAGTAGGAGCTTCTTTTAACTCTCTTAGCTAAGCGAGTGCCACTTTAGCGGAGGGAAAAGTCGTAAGCGTCTTATCGAAAACTTGCGTCTTAAAATACGGAATTCCTAAAAGACCTTCCACTTTAGCACTACTTGCTATGAGCTTCTCGTGAGCAACTTCGAACTTCTCCCAATATGCCAAGAGCATTTCGAGCATTGACTCAAGTGCGGAAACCCCGAGCTGCGATGCATCCGCTTATTTCGTAACCGAGAGAGTTTCCTCAATGAGAGTCGCACGCGACATCTGTAGATTGATCACCGCGTCGAGAGAAGTCATATTCAGCGAGAAAAGTACAGCGACGGCCAAAAGAAAACAAAACGAAATCCAAAAAAACTCAAAAACCCAAAAAAATAACCGCGTGAATAGTCAAATAGTTGAGCTCGGTTGTCCGAGAAAGAACCGCTCAAAATAACCGAAGAATGTAAGATGCAGGTTTGATGGTCCCAAAAAACGTAGGACTAAAAAATCATAAAATTCCGAAAATAGTCCTGAATAATTTCAAAATTATAAAAAATCAATCTCCAATGCAGATCCAGATGGTTGCAGGCATGAAAAATCCAATAAAAATTCAATAAAGGAAAAAAATCAACAAACTTCTCTTTAGAGAACGCTGGTCAATTTGAATTTCCCGCCTGGTCGATACCGCAGGTCTCTGAAGTGCTGCGCGAGAAACTGGTTGAGCACCGCTTGCTGACGAACTCCGCTTCCCGCCAACTCGAGGTCGAGAAGCCGCCGTTGAGCGCCACTGTCCAAATGCACGCTGTCCACAAACATGCCCGAAAATCACTTAAAAAACGCGAACAACTGAAAACTATTCCACAGATCCGGATCGAAGGACCAAAATATTCGATGCCGGGTCTGAGATCTGTGGAACTAGTTAACGATGGGCGAGATGTGAATGGATTTTAGCGGGAGCGTGAGAAGATCCAGGATACACGACTCGTGCACGTTGGCCAACACAGTCAATTTAATTATCAAAAAGAGTCAATTATTTACACTATTAACACAATGAAAAGAACAATAGTTATGCGCGGATCATTTTAGCAGTTTAAAAGCGATGAGCAATCAATAAAGGAGCAGAGCAACTAACAATGCGCTAAACAAAAGAAAAGAGCAAGAAGCGCGTGCACTGGTCAACGGGCAATATGCAAATGAGAGCGATTTATAGGCCACGAGGTGGCAGGTGATGAAAATCCAGAGGTGTGACCGTGACCCAATTTAAACGGGGGCGTTCACTGGGCACCTGTCTATCAAGTGGCGCCTCAGGTGTCAGAGGTGAGAGGCCACTGGTCATCTGAGGCGAGTACGTCGGTCAACTGTGCGTAGGCCATGCACGCATGCGAGCGGAGTGACTGTGCGTGAGTGTGTGCGTATGTGTGAGGAGTAAATTATTCGGTGGAAAACCGAACACACAAAGAATATGATTGCAATTTTTTTATTCGATTTTTGTTTTTAAACGCTTTGTGAATTGCAATCAGTACTTATACCACAAAATCAAAGAATATTGAATTTTATCAGTGGAATAAGAAAGTCAGAATAATTTTCATTCAAAGATTTTTAATCATCTAATTTATCAATTGAATTGGATAGGAAAAGCTCAACAATAAAGGAGGGATTATTAGCGGCTTTCGAACAAAATTCCATAAATACTTCCTTTTTCCAATATCCTCTCCTTAGGAATGAATAATAGAATTGTTGAAATTTACAAAAAAAAGTAATTTTTCCAATTCAGTTACAGTACAATTCAGAAAAAATTATTGAGACATTGCCTCAATGTTGGCAGCCAACATTGCACTAAAAAAATTAAAAAAGATATAAGGAAAGGGCATCAGCGTCGCGACCATGGTGGCACTAGCGAATATGAAAGAGGAGCCTTTCAGTTTAGCTGAGATAACAATGCAAAGCCAAAACTGTTAAGAGTCTTAACTTAAGACCAGGAAGATTAAGATTTTAGGAAATTCGTGACGATGTGTTTCAACTTCACCAAATCTACTTCAAATAGGATGGATAAGGGATAAATTATAGGAAACTTCAGGAAATTTACAAGATCCCTCAAAAATCAGAAAATTGTAGGTTTTTTCCGAATGTAAGATGATTCGAGCTTCCAGACAATTTAAAACAATTATGACATTTTCTGAAGAAAATCAAAGAAATCCACGAGTTTTTTGGAAATTAAAACAAATTTTCAGTATCTCTCAAATATTAGAGTTTTTGAATAAACCATGGAAGAACATTTGATAAGAAAAGGCGGAATAGACCAAGTAAAACTGATGTGAGGAGTCACGCGACCCTAACTACTGTACTCTGATTGATCTAAATGGGAAAGGACAACACAATTGGAAAAATCTGAGAACATAATTTTACCAAAATGTTCACATCTTCCAAGCAAAATTCACAAAAATTTCGGGATTTCATAGAGAATTTGAAAAAATTTCAAATGATTCATCAAAATTTCAAGATCATGGCATCGTTGAATAAAGTTATGTAAAAGATTATGAATGAGGAGAAAATACTCCGAATTAGCGAAGGAGCATCAGAATCGGTCATATAATTTTTCCAGCAAAAATAATTGAATGCTTTTAAAATAGTGTAAAAGAGAATGCAAGGGGTGGCGAACACAAAACCAATCTGGGTTGTGAGAACTTTAATAATTATTGTCTCGCACTCTGAATAGAATTTTGATTATAATTATAGTTAGAACGTCATTCAATAAGCACAGAAATTCAGAATTAGTGCATCACTTATTGAAATATTGAAAGTAAATAGGTGGTGAACCGATAAATATTGTAACGAGATTTTCTCGTTACGGGTTGAAATCCCCTTAAAAAGATACGTGAACTCTAAAATTGAGACATGAGGCGACATCTAGAGGCGGCTGAAGAAAGCCGCGACTAGATGAACTGAGCGACAAACCGATGAAAGACCTAAGGCATAGCGGTTATGGGTGAAACCGCGACCCCTGGAGGTCTGGAGGACGTTACTAGAATATCGCTATTTTGGAATTCGCCCAGCATGTGCTAGGGGAAAAGGGGCCAACGTACAGGCTGTCCAACTGGGCGATTCCATAGGCTATGTCAGAGTAGACTAGGGACCAACGGCCAGGTGAGAGGACTGGTGCCCCCGGGATCCCGTCGGGTTGATTGGTGGGGATAGGGTAACGGAATGACCTATCGTCGCTGAGATATCCAGACTAGGGGGAGAAGGCCCTAGTAAGATTCTGAGTTAGTCGAACGCGGACGCTCGAGCGGGGAAGTCGAAAGGATTTCTCCGAGATATACTGTGGTGTTGGCTTGAAAGATGGCCACGGGAATGGTGGGCGAATAGCTCAGCGCAGCCAGGTGCATAACTGATGGTAGCGAGCGTAGGGGGATGCTCCTGCATCCCCCACAAACGGGAAAAGAGTTATTTCGGAACTCTTAGTGACGACTTTGTTGTTTCCGGCGTTATCCGGCTCGGCGAAACAAATGTCGTGCACATGGGCCCGTGGGTCTGGAGTAGAGATCGTCCTCCTGTCGACCCGACCATGTGCCGACATTCGAGTACCCGGAGACGGTGACGTGCGATGACCGAAGCGGTAACTGGTGGCCGAGAGTGTGGGTGGTCGTGAAGTGGGTAACAGGGTTCCACTTTGGTCGGATCAGCCTCTCGGCGTCCCAGGCTCTGAGGAGTCCCGGCTGATTCGCATTTAATTCTGAAAACCCTCCCGAGTCGAAATACTCGGGAGGCGAAAGCCTACTGAGAGAGTGAAAAACCCTCCAGGATGAGAGTAAATTCACTTTACATGGATGATTAGGCCGTGAGGCTTAATATCCAGCCTGAAATAGTGGCTGGTGACGTTTGGCATAAGATACTCCTGGTGGACCTCGCCCACTCTACCGTGTCACACTGATGCTAGCTGGGCAACCCTTTGCCCGGCCACAGAAGTCCTCTGAGTGGACGAGTTTGCCTCAGAGGCCGGTTTTTCGTCGAACCTCCCGTGAAGGTTCGGCTGGCGCCCGACTATTGAGCGATAGAGACGGCTAAAAAGTAGTTTGGATTTTTCCTGGGTGAACAACCCGGGAAAATATCCTTACAATATTGTGTCCATTAATCTTGATACTCAATTTACTAAGTCAATGATGAATCATTAATTTTTATAAGAAACACAAGGAAAAAATGAGAAACAGAATAATGAAAGGGCATCAACGTCGCGGCCGCTTGTGGCCGCGGAGGCGCTAGTAACATAAAACAAGGAGACGACTGTTGCTCTATAGACTTCGCTAAATGCGTAACTATTTTGTCCATTGTTTTTAGGCTTCGAGAAAGAGAGAAAGAGAGAGAGAGAGAGAGAGAGAGAGAGAGAGAGAGAGAGAGAAGGGATGAGGTAGCTACGCGAAATAAAGAGAGAGCTCAGAAGAATGTACAAATTGTTTTCTATCTTCGGCTGTAATTATTCGAATTTCGAATCCTGGGGAACCTTTGTAATGGCTTCCTTAATTCTTACGTTATTTGTAACGTATTAAAATCGGGGATCTTATCCACCGAAAATGTACCAAAATGAACTAGGGAGCTTGAATCAGACACGTGGCTGATTTACCGAAAAGAAGCATTTCTAACCCGAAAATGGAGATTTTCTCCATGATAAAAGGTAGCTTATGGTCTCCAACGATTTCTAAAATAATAGGTAGCATATTCATTAACGCAAGAGAGCTCAGATAATTTTTATTGTTCTGGATTCCAACCACAGAAAGAAAAGGCAACAGAAAGATAGCGTCCCCATCCCCAACCGGAATTCAAACTCAACGAACGCTAACGAGTATTAAAACGCGTAAAAGGTAGCTTAAGAACAATTCAGGTAGCATGACTTTTCCTCCAAAACTCTTGTGAGTTGGAGAAATGTAAAGAAATACGTAGCATAGGATAATTACGTAAAGAGAGCGAGATAAGGTAGCAAGCAAAGAGGAGCAATGAAGCAGGTAGCGAGTTGCATCAATCGCCGTAGCTAGATGCATAAAGCATAAATTGTTTCTCAAAAGTTATGGTAGGTAGCATTATTACTATTTTGATTTATTCAGGTAGCATAATTATCCTTTAGATAATTTCAGGTAGCTTCCAGGGAGCATTTGGGTTTGTTTGGAGGGTTTCCTGTCCTTCAAAACGACGCCATT